ACAAATATACAAACATACACTACACTCTGAAATGTTAGCCTGTTTCGTGATTATTATTGTTATCAAGGTCGAAATGTATCAACATACTAAGGTTGTTTGGCAATAACTACACGAAATGCATATTTACCTGTATACAATGACTGTCCTTTTGTAAATGTTAACAAGATTTATTAGCTGATATGAGTTGTTCGAAGTATACTACAGTCATCTTTGCTTTCTTTCTTACGTCTTATAGTGTCCAGCAGGTTACACGTTATGACCTCAATTTAGTATTTAGGTTTCTCACAGATACTGTATTGACAGTTTAACTCGGTCTTTTTATTAACTGTTTACGAAACAAAATTTATTTTGTAGAATTCCTCCCATTAAAAAATGTGAATAGAGCAAAGACGACAAATATACCGGGATAATCTGAATTCAATTTTTTTAAATTATTAAATGGATTCTTCTCAACTTGTAACAACCTGAACAATATCAAAATTATATATTAAACTAAAGATCTGAGCATATTTCTTTTCAATGATAAGGAGTAATTGATTGGAATTTAGATTAATGCTGGTCAGGAATGATGTAAGTGGAAAGGATCGACTATTTATAAAAGAATAGCATGACCAAGCTCGAAAAAAAAAGACAGAGTTCAACAGATGTTTTTTTTGGTTAGAAACAAAGTTTAACTAGAAAAAGTATAAAAGCAATAGGTTACGTAACTGCAGAATGACACGTTTTTGGACAATAGGCAAGAAAGGGGATAGGGCGAGTCATGTTTAGACAAAAAAATCAAGGTTTCTAAACAGACCAGAAGATGACATAGTGAAATTCGTATGCTTTGTTATCACCAAGGCAGTGCAAGATTCATAACTGTCTCTTTCTGCGTACTTAGATTTAGTTTTAGCCGTTTTATGGCGATTGCCTCAACAAGACGAATCAGGCTAGGTTTCTTTTGTCTGTCGATTATTTTGAACGCCTTCAGATTGTCCAATTTACCAATTTACATACACGTGCCAAAGTACATACATCAAAAGAACAGAGAGAAGAGCTATTGTCCGCATCTCTGAACACATACCAAATAACCTGAGACTTAAAGGCCCACAAGCATTGAACAGTGTGATTGCACGCCATCTATTGGACACTCGCCATGTTGTGGAAAACCTGAAGGCGTTCAAAGTAAATAACTGATGAAAGAAACACCATCTTCTATTCTGTTCAGAAACCTCGAGTTTTTCGTCTAAACATGACTCGCCCTATCTCCTTTTCTGTCTATTGTATAAAAACGTGTCATTCTGCAGTTACGTAACCTATTGCTTTTATACTTTTTCTAGTTAAACTTTGTTTCTAACCAAAAAACATCTGTTAAACTCTGTCCTTTTGTTTCCAAGCTTAATCATACAATGCTTCTATAAGTAGTTGATCCTTTTCACTCTTAATTACTTAATAACTCACATCATTCCTGACCAGTGTTAATCTTAGTTCCAATCAATTACTCCTTATCATTGTAAAGAAGTATGTTCAGATCTTTAATTTAATTTATAATTTTGATATTGTTCAGGTTGTAACCAGTTGAGAAGAGTCCACGAAATAACAAAGGAAAAATGAGCTCAGATTATCCTGGTACATTTGTCGTCTTTGCTTTATACAAAAGTTATTGCTTGAATACGAAATCGAAATGATCTCATCTATTCAATGGGCCTCACAAAAAAACAGCTGGGAATAACACGAAAAATTATCCTTGTCACATCGTTCACACACCTATACAGACGTCATATTAACAGTTTTTTGGATTTTGTAGAACACAATAGCAATGATAACAAAGGATCTAAAGAAGTGAAAAGCTTAAAAATGTCTAGATCAGAGTGGGATTTCATTGTTTTCAAGACCATGAATACACAGTTCATGTTGATTTATTGTGTGATGGGATTCGTTGTGATAATTTTGATAAAAGATGAACGCCATAACAGATAGAGCTCTCATTTTAACTCTAATTCGTTCTAATATTCTAAGCTGAAATAGCACAAAGCGACGATGCATTTACACAAGAGATTTATGATTCATGATTATCTGGTGACTTCAGGCATGATGACAGCCGTCTCTACTTGGGACATTCAAACTTGCTATTGACTAGCAGAACATTATTGAAATGTTTCAGATAACGAACTGCCCTTCAAAACAGCTGTTTCAAATCAACCGTTTTCATGCAAGTAATCGTGTAAGTTAGTCATTACGTGAAAATAACCACACACAAAAAAAAGCGTAAAATAAAAGACCATAAAGATATTAAAATCTCTAAAGAAAAAATATATTTCAGAAAAGAGTATTGTTCAACCAATTTTACTAATGTATAAACCGTGTAGTTGTTGAGACATTTATGTTAGGGTTTTAAGGTGAAATATGACAACAACAGTAAAAAGAAAAATATCTCTTTTCTCGAAAAGTGACAAGGATAATTTCTTAATATTTGACAGCATTGTTGTGAATATTAATGAACTTTAAGCAACACGGTTGACTATGTGACCTTATATACATACATATATAAATCTCAGGTGAAACATAAGTGCACATTGTAAGTTATACAGTTCAATGGTTAAGCTACCTACGAAAGTGGAGGTCATTCAAGTTGACATGAAGTTATTACAATAACAATGAAGAAATTTCATGTACTTCATGACAGATGATTTTTACTTCAAATCAATTAGTGAATAAGATATTTCAGAAAACGACGTATTAATGCATTCCCTATAAACTAGTACTATACTATTTCTCACTATGTTTATAAGGACAAGAAAGGTAAACATTTCTCTTCGGTCTGAAGACGATTTATTTTAATTTTTAAAAAATCCTGAATGAACCTTAAAAGAAGTAATCGTAATGTGTCCCACTGATAGTAAGCTGTAGTACATATTTTCAGATGGTTGCTAGCTATGCCTAACCTTTCCTCTTCACCAGCATTATTTCTGGCTTAGCGAGGTAAAGGAGTGCGCCGCAATGTGCATGGTCGGAGAGCGTCCTAATCGCTATGCCACGACGCACAGTAAGCTGTAGTAACACCCATAAATAATAAAACAAAACTGTCTTATAGATAGTTTCTTTTCTGAAAACTGTTCTTTTCAAGACAGTTATAATAACTTTCAGACTATAATACGAAGATTGAAATTATTCTTGTGTCTAAGCAATTACTAGATGTTTAGGGATTATTAAAACAACTGTATCATTGGTTTGAGACTACTATCATCTGATAAAAGAACAGTATACAGGAACAGGAACTCATATACCTTCAAGGTTGTACTTACGCCTTTCTAACGAGTGCCAAATAGCACGAAACCTAGGTTCAAGGCTTCCTGCCGATTGCCTCCATCCATCCAATATCATCAAAAGAACAGTATGGTATGTAGAAGCTGGTGAGACATAAAGGTGTTTCTAATTTATTAATTACTAATGGAAAATGAATATCATGTTCAATTAGATACAAAAAGCACTGATATCTGCAACCTGAATTTCCAACACTGGTTACTACCATATATTTAAGATCTACAATGAGAATTGTAGATTTGATGGGTTATCATTATTAAGTAATTGATTGTAAATAAATAGAGGAGAAGTTAAAGTAGTTTCAACATTTCTGAATATTTTCCTAGTTTGACCACGAATTGATAACAGTTAGAGAATCACTGAAAACCAGCAGGGAGTACTGGATAGCTGTCTCGTCCTAGTTTGGGACTCATTGGCAGTACACACCCACTGGGTTCCAAACCCAGGACCTTCCGGTTGCAAGGCAAGCTCGTATACCATTCAGCTACTGGGACCCGATTCAATGGCCAACCCATGAATTCTAACTTCTACCAATGCTGAATAATTAACAGTAAAAAAAGGTATTTATTTATTAGAATAGAAGGAAAGGGTGAGCAGGTGTAAATTAGGTGTATTCTAGCAAAATAACCCACTTAAGGTTTATTAAGACATTTGCAATCGGCAGTATTGTGGCGTATGCTACTGATAAAATTTATCAGTAATATATAAAGAGACTTTCGTAGGCATAAAAAGATCAGTTAGCAGGGAGATAGATTTCGAGTCAAAGGAAGCAAATGATTCAGCCTTGAGGAAAAACATAGGAGACGTGAAAGGCAGCCAAAGAAACACAATAAGAAGGCCAGAAGTAGCATAACATGGAAGATCTGTGCAAGTAAGGATTTTCAGCAAAGGTGTACATAATATCACTATATAGCGATACCGAATTCCAAATAAACATTCGTTTACCGAGTCTCTTGTCTTCTACCGCTACAGGATGTGCATTAGTAGGCAAGATCAAACTTTAGACGCCCAGCAGGCACGAATACACCAATACCCCTAGAACATTCAGTCAGCAAGATAGTGAAACCATGCAAATAACACTACATTCATGAACAAAAATGCTGAACGAAGTGTTGTGATATTAAATAGGGTATATGGTTAGTTTTAAGTTAGGTTAGTGGAAGATGATTAGCTTTTGGTTAAAGAAAGATTAGGGTTAAGACTGAGTTAGAAGACCAGATTCACTTTTCAGCACTATGGCTCATTCCAAGTTCTATGATGCGTTCGTCCCTCTCATGTGCCTAAATTTTGACTCCGCCCATTAACGATATAAATCTACAGAAAAGTTATCTACATGATTCAATGACTGATTTCTACTATTCAGGGAGATTTAATCGTCTTTGTTATTCCAATAGGATAATTTATAGTCGTGGGGGAATACTGTGCCTTATTTTGACTTTTATTAGAAACATTGTTGGGTTAGTTTTATGTACGTCAGTTATATAGCTGAATTTAGTACTATCAGTACTCGCATGATCTCGTCCATATTAGAAGAGAGATAATCTAACGCTCAATATGCATCAGAAAAAAGACATATCAGTCATCTAGATTAGATAGAAAAGAATATGAAAGACCTTTTTTTAATTAATAGAAAGTTTCACAGTGCTGAGGAATTTTTTTGCAACTAATGAAATAACTAGATAATTGTGTTAACTTACCAACAGGTAGTGCTCGATGATATATCTGTTGTGCTTGCATCAGTGGTATAGGAATAAACAGGCAATAAGCCATAATCAAATGTAAAACAACTGAATATGGTAGGAAATTCCGTTTAAATCTTTGCCATAATAATTGAAGGCTGTGCTTAAAAGACAGATGCTGCACGCTATCATTGGAGATTAAACGTTGAACAGTAGAAGTGTTATTATGATTGTGATTATTCGGTGCATAAGAGTTATACAGTGTTTGATTCACTCCACTACGTCCTGACCAAGTGTCAAAATTAGGACCAGGTAGAACATCCTCTGTTCCAATAGCTGAAGCATGATCATCCTCACCAGGATTATAGCCATTTCTACTCAATGTTTGCATTACATTCCCATTCCCATTTGTTGCATTAGGATAAATACAGTTTTGATGATCTGTGAGTGATGTTAACTTCATCATTGGTTGTCCAGATTTCCATGCACAGGTTGAGTTTAACAGATGCAAGTTATTTGTATCTCTTCCAATCTGTGTACCTTCATTGGCATAATTCGATGTGCGTATGAGACTACATAATAGAAAAAGGCTAAAACATGTTAACGTTGTAATAAGCATAGCCAGCGTGAAATTCATGCATGATTGATCCCAGGCTCCACCGAATTTAGCATCAAATGCTTGTGATTTGAAAGCTAAATAACGATTAATTCCAACATAGATAAGAAATATGTGTAATATTGTGATTAATATTGTGTTCCATGCACGCCATAATTTGTCACAGTTTGTTCCTTTCCCATAAACCATAGTGAAATTTAGATAATTGTATACATAAGAAAATTAAACTTTATTCCACTGTTTTCAGCGCATAAAAAAAAGCTTTCTTCTAATCTGGTCCACTAAGGTTTTTGTGAAATTCTACGTTTTCGGCATTGATTCCTAGTCCTTTAGTCCATAACACATAAAAACAGTCAATATTGAAATTTTATTTGCTCAGATAAATGAGTCAAAGTATATTAGTGTAGTTAAAATATTATTGTTAGGAATTTTAAGTCTAATACGTGCTCTCAATTAAGACAGGTCACACGTGCCAGAAGACTTTTAGAAATCTGATTGGTCCAACGAGTCAGCCAATGACTGCACAGTAATGTTTAGTCATACAGGTTCTTGCAAGTATTTCACTGGTCCAGGTAAATATTGATAACTTTGATTTAACTGGAACACAATAACTTGTTTAACCTAGCTAGGTAATTCCATCGTTTGGTTAAATTACTGGTTGACATACTGAAATGACAGATTAAATTAGGCTAATTACAAGGTAATAAAAATATCCAAATAGTAATGTCGTAAAAAGAGTTAAGCACTTCAAAGCAAGATAATGCTTTCATAAAATGTAATTAATACTTGAATTGAAAGAACACATTTCCACTTTTGAGATTAAGGAATTATGAGATGTAGTGTTGTAAGTGGCAGCAAAAAATATATATAGATCTTCCAAGAACATAGATGCTTGTTGAAGACCTCTCTTAAACTTAGTGATAATAATCATCGTAATCGGCCATGTTAGGTTGGTGGAGAGATATGAGATAGTCTTTAAGTGATAGGCTGATGGTGGTATAAGGAATGATGAATGCATTGAAATGATTACTTGATTACAAGTTGAATTCATTAGATTGACTGGCAGAGCACCTTGCTAGTAGATGGAGATGATGGGTTCGATTCCTTCAACAACTAAGGCTGGATTCTCCCTAATACATCAGTATAAGCATTGCTATTCATACGGATGTTTAAATATACAAAGAATGGGGATAAAAGATACATTAATCACTGTAGATTCGTTGAAATTATTAAAAAGGGTAGCTTAAACTAATTGTAATTTAGTTTAATTTGATAATATCATCAAACCAATGTGCACCGTGATGACGAGCTACCTAGAATGGTGGCCACATTACAAACCTGACTGATAGAATTCAGTCTGCACCAAAGAAAGGACTAGACACATCAGACTAGTTACTAGTGTCCAATCAAAATATCCACTACGGTCCTACAGGAGGTCAGTCGCGAGCCCGAATAGCTCAGTGGTAACGTCTCTGACTGCAGCACTGGGTGACACTGGTTCGAATCTCAGGAGGGGCATAAGTTTCTTCAAGGTTGCAGATACGCCTTGCTGATGAGTGCCAACTAGAACGAAACCTAGGTCCAAGGCTTCCTGCCGATTGCCTCCAACCATCTAATGTCATCAAATGGAGAAACTGTTAGACGAATAAAGAAACAGATCTCTAGACTATTTAATTATTATCTGAAAAATTGCAAATATACACTGTACTTCTTAATTACAATTATTGTTGTCGTGAAAATTAACCTGTGTGTCAATAACATTTTCAAGTGTCTCACCCATAGCTAAACTTTAAACAACAGAATGAAGTTGAGTTAATAGTTTTGGCACGTATCCCTTGAAGTAATTAGACTCCTATAGCCATCGCATAGTGAACCGACAGAAGGTGACATGAAGGATACTTTTGAACGCCCTGAAAAAATTTGAAAGTGAAGCGTAACTTCATAATACCTTTTGAATGAACCTTCCTTATTGACTAATGTGCCGTTAATATAATCAGTGGGATTCTTACGCAATGACCTCATAAAACGAAACACTGATATTGATATTCCTGTATCTTCCATGATAAAAAGTCTTAAAGTGTACAGTGAATTTTGATTCCACTCTTAACAAGAAATTCTAATGACAAATGGATGGTGAGACTGTAGTGTCACCCAACAGTGCATTTCTAGTTGAATTTCCCCTAGGAAAGTAGGAGAAAAAGCCTTTAAAAGGAGTAATTAGTGTTTGTTGATTCTGAAAAGTGAGAATGAAACAGTAGCCATCTGAATAAATGTAATGACGTATATTCAGCAATAAATTTCACCATCGAGAAGAGAAATAACGACTGTGCTTCATTTTTAGATGTTATGATGTCTAAAAAAGGTGAAATAATAGAGATGAGCAGAGTACTGAGGAGAACAGAGCGAATGGGCGATGTACTACTGACGCCCCATTTTCTTCCCGGAACGCGAGGGCATAATTATAATAAACAGAGAGGAGAATATACAGAAAAGTAGCATCAGCTAGTCAGTATACTGAATTTTCGAATTGTATACCTTTGAAATAGTGTGTCGGTGGCATAGCGGTTAGGACGCTCGCCGACCATGCACATGGTCCGGGGTTCGACTGACGCACTCCTTTACCTCAGTAAGCCAGAAATAAAGCTGGTAAAGAGGAAAGGTTGGGCATGAGGCTAGCAACCTCATCCTGTAAAAAATTAACACTGCTACAGAAACTTCAAGCCTCTAGATTGGAGCCCTATGTTCCACTGGGAACGTGAAGGGATAAATAAATAAAAATAAATACCTTTGAAATACAAACAATCTGGTAAAGGGTTCAGTATACAGAGCCAGGCTAATCTGCTTAGTCAACCATCTTCATGCGGAACTGAAGATAATCCATGAATTATTCAGTAAAGTTTGATATCCAGAAAATTTCCTTGGTAAATATACAAATTTGCTGTCTAACCGAATTAATATATTAACAGCTCCAAGAAAGTTTCTGTTCTTAAAACTACAGTTTCATGGGGATATTATTAGTAGTAGTAAAATTGTAACAGAATACATGAAGAATGCTGTGAAAAGCACATTTTTCTGCAGTTGAATTATCGCTTCATAACCAAACCGATTTTCCACTCGAGAAAGAAGTCTAAGTAACCTAATTTCGCTTACTCCATGTTTATCTACCAGTTTGACTGTTCCTGCGAAGCCAATTACAAACATATAGAAGAAGCCATCGAAGTACACTGGAAGACAACTCACCTGTGTGTTTTGAAGAAATTTGGGAAAACCCTTTCCTTATGTCGGCCATCTTAACGTCAGTGTAAGCACTGGTTATTTCCGCTCCCTCAATGCCGCTTACAAGTTACTATTATTTTAACTATCTTATGAATCTGCCTACTTTACCTCTAATCATATTTATATATTTTATTCACTTATTTCTCCTTCTTGGTAATGGCGATGACAAGTGTTCATATACTAATCAATTACTAGTACAAGTTAAAATTTTTCTCTCCCAAATCTGTATGAATATATGAGGAAAGAAAGAAGCATTTAGCTAAGCCATCCAAATGCGTAAAGGTATCAGTCAGATGACTAATGTCTAATACTGTTCAGTGACTAATCCTTTTCTCTACTATCTTTAAACACCAATTAGTTACTGAAATACACAAAATGTCATACTGAGAATCCAGTACTCTACTGGCATTATTAAAAAGAATTGCCAGTATTAATGATTTTGTTTTGTATTTTCAAGCTAAACATTATCAGACAGTAATGTCAGCTGCTACTATGAAACAGGATACTGGTGAAACCACAACGCTAGGCTTTAATCGGTTTAATTTTCATGAAGAAACATTAACACATACATGAATGCATGTATACATATCCTTGTAATGGAGAGTAACTAGGATAAAAATTGGTTAGCACCCTTAATCACTACTACTGTAATGACAGAAGACAATGGCCAGACAACAGATCGCTTATTGAGGTAATCAAGAGATATTTATATATTTTTATGTACATTATTATTCGTTATTACTAGCAGAGAAACAGCGTCTTCTGATTGGTTGTTTTCCTGCTGAAGGTTATCCTCTCATCTCTTTGTGGCGCTTCCTTTGAAGGTTAGACCATATATCTGCGAATCGCAAAGTCTTTGTTCTTGTTTTTCTCATCACCATGTTGACGTGAATTGCTGTCTACCAATTTTAGCTAGCAGACAGCTCTCCCCACACTACTACGTAGGAGTATCCCAGAAGTCTTTATTGATCCGATGCAGGTGATTTACACTTAAAGGTGATGCAGCATTAAAAAGATTATTGTACAACTTATAATAACATGACACTTTGATTATACTAAGTATCCTTTTGGAAGTGTTTATCAACTTTTACTTATTGTCACTGACTTTATCATTAATTCACTGAATTCTTACGTTTTCATTTCTACAGACTGTCGAGATCGATAAAGTTTTAAGTTTGAGCAGAATAATTATCCCAGTTAAGTCATTTATGTTCGAAACAATGAGAAAGTGACTGTAGGAATAGTAAGCTGAATATTTATTTTTACGGTTACGAAGAAACGTGGTTATTTCATTGACTCAAGTGTAGAGTTCCTAGGGTTAAATTTATGTGCTTCTGTTGGTCTGCATTTGAAAACTACGGTGTAACAAAATACTAAACTCAATTTTACTAGTAAGTGAGACATACCTCTTGAAAATGAAATATTTGTTGACCCCAAATTCACGAAAAATACACCCACAGACATGAATATAAGAACAATCAGTTCAGTGGAGTGACTCTTTTAGGCGAATTCATTCACTTAGCTGCACAATCACAGCTATCTGCAATTATTTGTGTGCGCATACATCTGCATATTAGATTTGTCAAAATGATAAAAATTAGCTAGTGTTGTTGTTTACGTTATCGAAATGTTTCAAAAGCTGTGAAGAATAATCAAATTGTAACTAGGTTGGGTGAAGATTAGTAAGTATTGAAAAGGGTTACGTAATGTGAAAGACACTCAGAAAAATAGGATGTTAGTGAAAGAGCATGCAGACAAATGTCCAAAATAAATTATGTGATATTCAAGTGTTAGTTTGTAAGTATTTGATTAGTTACAGGATTTCATCATGAGCTGACATTAGTTAGAGAACCACTGAAAAACCTGGGAGTTCTGGACAGCTGCTTGTCCTGATTTTGGTATACGAGCTCGCC